GACACGTGAAAAACACTGCCTTTCTCTATCTCTCTTGCGCTCTCTCTCTCTCTCCGTCTCACTCTCTCTTCTCGCTCTCTCTTGCTATCTCTCGCGTTATTTCTGGCTCACTCGCATTTTAATCCGTGATGAGCTGAACGCGTCTTGACTTTTTTAATTTTTGGTATTACTCTCAAACCCATTTTACCCGAGCGTATTACGTTGAAAAAGCCATCAACTTCTACTCGTTCTACGCCCGAACTCCTCCACCCAAAGACCCCCCAATTACCGCTACACCACAGCAACTTTTTTGTGTGATGTTTTAGGCGTTGAATTGAGGGGTAGATGTTGTAATCTGGGGTTTGGATCGGATAACACATCTAAACCCGGGCTTCCGGTGTTATGGCTCCTGAAATGGCAGGTGTTCGGAAGCGGAGATCTTGTTCTGAAAGTTCGGGTTATGGTGGTTAAAGGGACAGCCAGACCGTTTTTTTGCTCTCTCTCTCTCTCGCTCTCTCTCTCTCTCTCTCTCTCTCTCTCCTCTCTCCCTCTCCCACTATCCAAAATTCATCCGAGAAATCATCTTCCTCCAGTTCTTGTTCCGCCTCCCCATTCACCAGAAATCAAGGGCGCACTGAAGCTGCCTATGGGGGAAAGGGGCCAGCGGATTTGTTAGTGTCCATCTGAAGAACTGAGCTGATTGTGTCCCTTAACTCACAAACATCCTCCTTTTTTCGGCGCAATTCAGAAGGAAGGGTAACTGGGGGGTGCCCTCCGTCTCGGGTATTTTTTGACCCACCCCCGTACGCGGTTTACGATAGTTTCCGAGGTGACGCCATTTTCTGTTTACGGAATAATGCTAGCTCTCCCCAAAGGTCTCTGCTAGCTCTCCTCAATGGTCTCTGCTAGCTCTCCTCAATGGTCTCTGCTAGCGCTCGTCAATGGTCTCTGCTAGCTCTCCTCAATGGTCTCTGCTAGCTCTCGTCAATGGTCTCTGCTAGCTCTCCTCAATGGTCGCTGCTAGCTCTCCTCAATGGTCTCTGCTAGCTCTCCTCAATGGTCTCTGCTAGCTCTCCACAATGGTCTCTGCTAGCTCTCCACAATGGTCTCTGCTAGCTCTCCTCAATGGTCTCTGCTAGCTTTCCTCAATGGTCTCTGCTAGCTCTCCTTAAAGTCTCTGCTAGCTCTCCTCAATGGTCTCTGCTAGCTCTCCTCAATGGTCTCTGCTAGCTCTCCTTAAAGTCTCTGCTAGCTCTCCTCAATGGTCTCTGCCAGTTCGCCGCTACTTCAATGGCAGCTTTTCATCTTCCCTTAAACCTTTTTTAACGCTTTAATATTGTTTCCAGAAGTTGAACGATGCGTAAATGGGTCGTCTATTTCCTATTCTGCACCCTATCAACTGTACTCGGCACCCCGGGTCTGTCCCTCGTCCCAAACACCCGCCCCGGCCAGCCCAAACGCCATCGCCACAAGAAAAGTGGGTTTTCTGGCTTGATTCCGCTACAGTACCTTTCTATCGTATCCCTGATTTTTATCGATTTTCAATACGTCCCTTCTATGCATGCATTAATGAGAACTGTCAGCGCATGCGCGCACTTTTTAATTTTTTGATTTTGGGGTTGCCTTAAGAAAATAATTTTTGTGAGAAATTACGATAATTACCGTAGATTTTCCAGTTGTGAAATGTTTTTTTCGATTCCACAGTACTAAAAATACTGTTTTTAGTCGCAAACTCAGAAAAATGCTGAGAATTCTAAGGGTTTTGTCTTTTTTCTTTGTTTAAAACGACGTATTTCATAATTTTTAATGGCTAAGCGGCTAAAAAAGGTGCCAATAATTTGATAAAATTGCTATTTGCATTTTTAAAGATTTTACAGTACTTTTCTGAGGGTATCTGTTCTGCCAGAATTTTTGCCATAGAAAACTCGCTCATAACAGCTCTTTTCGTCACCCCATCCTGTCCGTGTCCCTTTAAACCACCCTAACAAATTTCCGCTACACCCCCTAACAACCGGGCACAGGCTCCGACGAGTACGCGACGCTCCCAAATGACGACGACTGGGTGCAGGAGGTGCAGCAGCCGGTCGAACAGATGGATGGAGCAGGTAGAAACCCCCCAAGACCCCGGCCAATAGCTCCGTGTCTGGAGTAGCATGTAGTCTGTTGTACCGTGTACACCGCATGGGATTTCCTCCTGGTTGCCGTGATTTTTGTGGAAGTTAAAAAGTCTGAATTTAAGCTACCGTAACGGCGCTGCTGGACCATTTGACGCGACACTACGACAAACGGGTCCGACCCCTCGAGGGGACACATCAACCCGTCATGGTGCATATGACCATTGTGTTGGGGATACTTACGGAATTGGTAAGAGCTGCGAGGCAAGCGGTGGATAGTTTTTTGAAAATCATATTAACGAAAATCACCTTTTCAACACTAATTTTTCGATAAGCGCTTTTTCCGGAATTAACATTTTCGAAAATGTTAATTTTGAAAAATTAACATAGGTATTTGCTACCCGGTTTTTCCCTTTTCGAAAATCCCAACTTTTTCAAAATTTGATTTTTTTTAAATTTCATAAATTATTGTCAAAAACAGAATTTTTTGAGGTCACGACTTTCCATAGATAATAAAATTTAAAATGCTTTTTAAAAATAATGGTTAAATATAATAGTAAAAATAATAAATACTTTTCAAAAAGACATTTTGAATAAAAAGAATTCTTTCTCGAGCAGCAGTTTTTTACTCGTCAAAAAACGTTAAATTTCGACTAAGAACCCAATCAAAATTTGCATTTCTAGGCATAGCTGGACTTTACAAAAAAATACCCCCCCGATAACGCGAAAGCACCGAAAACGATTTTTGAGAGAAACTGTTTAATTCTTGCTAGGAGTTGGAAGTTAGGAGTTAGACGTTGAGAGTTAGAAGTTGGGAGCTAGAAGTCGGGAGATAGAAGTTGGGAGCTAGAAGTTGGGACCCAGGCGTTGGGAGCTGACCCTTTAATGAGGGTAGGCAGGCAGCTGTTTCCCAGGGAATTCATCCGGAAAAGACAGACAAAATTCGTAGGAAATCACGATTTTTCGGTCTCAAGTGGCGATTATACATTTTTTACATCGTCCTAAAAGCTTTTAGCCTTCCCATCGCTATCCCTTCCAGTACCACCCAGTGCCAGAAAACCTCAAAAAATGGGCGAAGCCGAAAACAAGGTGCTTGGGGTTAATATTTGAACTGGGGGCTCCTCACAACGAGGGCAACTCGGGCCCTCAAGTAGCCTCCGCGTTTCCAAAAGCACCCGTCCCACCTAGCGACCCATTATGCATTTTGGGAGAGCTTTTTGAGGCCCTCCCTCTCGTCGTCCTCTTGGGTGCCACTCATTCCGAGAATTCGTCGATTTTTGCTGGAACGCGGGTTGGGAAAATTGGGAATTAATCAAAAAAACATGGAATGGGTCATGTGGGGGGCTATGATTGAAATGGAGAATATTTAGGGGATTGAAATTTGGTGAGGGTGGATGCGAGAGAAAAACGAGATAGAGAGAGATAGAGACGGAGAGAGACAGAGAGAGATAAATAGAAATTGAAAATAAAATTCTTATAATCGACGATTGAGCTAGGACTCCAATTATCACAGAGTCCGGCTCGCTCTCTCTCTCTCTCTCTTTCACGTTCTCTAACTCTCTCTTTCTCTAGCTCGTGCTCTGTCTCTAGCTCATCCTCTTTTCTAGCTCGTGCTCTTTTTCTAGATCATGCTCTTTCTCTAGCTCGTGCTCTTTCCCATCCTCCGCTCACGCCAAAATTTTTAATCACTTACAAGGAAACCTCCCCAGCTCGAAGTTGGACTTCGATTAGCCATATAGCCTATCTGATGCAGTTTTCACGCTGATAACGATACCGATATTTATTTTTGCCGAGCGCCACAGGAACATCGTTAAAAATCGATTTAAAGTTTTGTCATGTTGGGCAGCCCCGTCTCAAAGCCCCTCCCCACGGGGAAGGATCCATCGGCGGCGTGGTGTAGTCGGCAAGTACTTGGCTTACCAATCCAGAGGTCGCTAGTTCGAGTCTTGCCGCTGACGACTTTTTTGCTTTTTGCTTCAAAAGTGCTGTGAAGGTCCTACAAGTCATCAAGAAAAATATGTTTAAGTTTTTTTGCACATTTGGCCGCTAATTCAGGTAGTTATGGCTACAACGAACCACAGGTCTCGATACAATCCAGATGAATTTTATGAACTCAAAACGCTTGCCTTGGTGCAGAAATGAAGCTTGACATAAGATGTAAAAAAACTCCTTTTTTTTCAAAAAGTTTTCAAAAGAGTGGCTAGTGCATTAAATAGTCGGTGATCCACCGATAATTCCAAATGTCTTCGGCTGAAAAACAGTCTTTCCGAGAAATCGAATCGAGCAACTTGAATTGGTGACCAAAAGCTCAAAAAAAACTTAAAACCATATTTCTTGATGACTGATAGGAGCTTCACAGCACTTTTGAAGCAAAAAGCAAAAAAGTCGTCCGCGGCAAGACTCGAACTAGCGACCTCTAGATAGGTAGGCCGAGTACTTGCCGACTACACCTCGCCGCCGATGGATCCTTCCCCGTGGGGAGGGGCTTTGAGACGGGGCTGCCCAACCGGGCAAAACTTTAAATCTATTTTTAACAATGTTCCTGTGGCGCTCGGCAAAAATAAATATCGGTATCGTTATCAGCGTGAAAAACTGCATCAGATAGGCTATATGGCTAATCGAAGTCCAACTTCGAGTTGGGGAGGTTTCCTTGTTAAGGTACCAAACAGGGACAGACAGAGCGCGAGAGATTTCGAGCGAAAGAGAGCGAGAGCTAAAGAGAGAGCCAGCGAGAAAGAGAGGGAGAGTGAGAGTAAGTGTGAGAGAGGGAGAGGTGAGCGAGAGCGAGAGAGAGCCACAGAGAGAAAACAAAAAATTTTCTATACGGGAAATCTCGGAGAAACGCCCGGAAATAAAATCCATAAATTCAATTTTTAGCGTGAAAACCAACAAATCGCCTCGTTGGTGATGTCCCACATCCAGGTATTGTCTTTTTAAAACCCCCAAAATTCCTGCTTGAAGAAGTGGCAAGAACCGAAGCTTTCCTGGAACCCGGCCGAGTTCAACAACCTCACCCAGGTGGTGATCCCCCAGAATTTGGTCTGGCTCCCGAAGCTGTTCATCTACAATAGGTAGCGAAATCCGATAGTTTCCCCTTATCTCTCACCAATACTATAGTATGGAGACGAAGGAGATGCTCACGGAAAACCGGTTCGATGTGCGGTTGCAGCACAACGGCGAGGTGAAGATCAACATGCCCGTGTTCACGTCGGTCCTCTGCCGGCTTAACATTGAGCTGTGAGTTTGTTGAAGATGATTAGCATCACTTTTTTGACAAAACGTCAAGTTCGAGGAGTTCAATACCAAATTACGAAAAGAACTTGATGCTTTTTCGCCTGTGGCAAAGTGCTAGGAGTTCAACAAAGAAACGACATTTGCCGAATAGAGTAACTAGGTTCTTCGGTTCTTTCCATCAAGTTGAACGAGTTCAGAACCTGACGCTGTCGGCTAATGACAGAAAATGTTTTTTTTTTATTTGGGGTGTTTCACCAAGTTCAAGGAGGCCAGAAAAATCAAGTCCATGCCTAGGTTCCCCTTCGACACGCAGTTCTGCGCCGTCGCACTCGCGTCCCCGTTGCTGAACGTGCAGGAGATGGACGTCAACGCCACGCAGCCGCCCAAGGATTCGTATTTTGCGGTGCGTGGTAGATTCTCTGACGATTTGTCGCGTTCAGGGCAACGCCGAGTGGGAGGTGATGAACATCACCGTGCGGCAGTTGCGGTTCGTCGAGTACGGCGAGTATAGGGTTGAGGTAGGCAGAGAAAGAGAGAGAGAGAGAGAGAGAGAGAGAGAGAGAGAGGAGAGACAGACGGTTCATTTCCAGGTGCACTACATCCTGCACCTCAACCGTCGCCCCATCTACTACGTGACCGTCATCGTCGTGCCGACCTTCCTCATCTCCGCCCTCTCGATTCTGGGCATATTTTCCCCGGGCTCAAATGATGGGCCCAGAAATGAGAAAGTGTCGCTAGGGCTTGGGTCCCTCTTGGCCATGACGGTGTTGTTGGACATCGGTAAGAGATTTTAAAGGGATGGTGACAGGAAGGGGCACCACATCTCGGACAATTTTCAATTTTTTAGTGGCCGGGGCGATGCCGAAATCAAATTCGATTCCGTTGCTCGGCTTCTACATCATTGTCGTCATCATGTTGTGCGCGGTTGGGGTGGCGATATCGATGGCATTACTCGGTTTATCGAGGTATGAGTTATCTCACTCTCTCTCTCTCTCTCTCTCTCTCTCTATCTCTCTCTCTCTTTCTCTCTCACTCTCTCTCTCTCTCTATCACGCTCTCTCTCTACATTGCAACGAACTTTTCAAATATTCCCAAATTTCCAGATCGTACATCCAAACGGAGCGGATGCCCTCTACACAGGCATACAGAATATTAATGCTGCAGCCAATGAAAAAATGCGCGATGAACGGGTTATCGCAGTATGCGGCGAATGAATTTGTTAAACAAGCGTAGGTTTTAAGCACGATTTTTTTCTCACATTCCGTCTCTCTGTCTGACTGTCTCTTTCTTGCTCTCTCCCTATCTCTCTCACACTCTCTCACCCGATCTCTCTCTCTCGCTTTCTCTGTCTCTCCCTCTCTCATTCTCCCTTTCTCTATATCTTTCTCTCTCTTTCTCACTCTTACAGATATCTCTCGCTCTTTAGTTCTCAGACTTGCTCGCTCTCTCTCGCTGTCCCTCTGTCTCTTGCCTTCGCTTTCTCTCTCTCTTTCTCTCTCTCTCTCTCTCTCTCTCTCTCTCTCTCTCTCTCTCTCTCTCTCTCTCTCTCTTGCTCTCTCTCTCTGCAGAAAATCCACAATACCGACAACCATAATGCCCACATTCAAAATGCCGACAACCAAAAAGCCGACGACCCAAATGCCGACACGTAAACACTTGGCATTAAAATGCTATTTACATTTGGTTAGGACTTGTGGGTGTCGGCATTTTAGCCTGTCGGCATTTTCCCCGAAATGCCTGCCTCATCCTTTCGATCCCTATCTCGATCTTGACCCCCTCTTTATCCAGCGGTGAAAGCCTAATCAGCACCTCATCCGCCTCAATACTACGGTAAAGTTGACGGCGCGAAAAAATGAAATTTACCGGCTTTTCGTTTCTTTTTTGCCTGAATGGCTATATTCTGCAACTGCCAGTCAGTATAGAACATTTGCTAGATATTCAGTTGCTGCCAGCAATCCCCCCATTGCGGCTTGTCAATGTCGTGCTCCTCGCAAGACCGCGTTTCTCATTTTCAGTTATAGCCCGAAGTTCCCGGATTTGGCGGCCATATATGTACAATTGACGGAGGTGGCGAGGGCGCAGAAGACGTACCGGGAGAGGATAGAGAGGAGTGTTTGGTTGAATAGGGTAAGAGGGAGAGAGAGAGAGAGAGGAAGTGAGAGCGAGTCAGAGAGAGCGAGATTGAGGGTGTGAGCGGGAGAGAGAGAGTGAGTCGGTGAGAGTCAGAGAGAGAGAGAGAGAGAGAGAGAGAGAGAGAACGCGGTCTTCAGAGCGAGAGAGATAGAAGGGGAGCGACAGTGAGAGCGAGAGAGATCGAGAGATCAAGAGTGAGAGAGGGAGAGAGAGAGAGCGAGACAGAAAGACAGAGAGATACACTCCTCCCCATTTCAGGTCGAAAAAGAGTGGAATCGTATGTTCGGCCGCGTGGACCACATCTTCCTCGGCATCTTCGAGCTGTTAAACTTCTTGATCTTGGTGCTGTTCCTCCGCTACGCCTTCCTGCCCGTCCCCGATCTGCCTGACGACTTCACCGTGTAAGCGCTGGTGTGGGCCAGTATCCAAAGAAACGTGTGTGTTTGCTGAGATTTCTTTCCCGTCTTTTTTCTACGGCTATCTCCCCTGGCATCTGTTGTAGTTTGTAGTTTGGTTGTGGAATAGAGGGGTATGGGGGAAGTGCGAGTTTAAAGGACCCGGGAAGGCAAGTTAGGGCCATAGATTGAGTTACAGAGAGGTCGAGGGCGAGAGAGAGTGTGCTATAGGGAGAGCGAGAGAGTGAGAGAGGGAGAGCGTGAGAGAGAGACAGACAGAGGGAGGGAGAGAGAGGGATAGAGAGACAGACAGAGAGGGCGAGAGAGAGAGGGAGAGAGAGACGAAGAGTGGAGAGAGACAGAGAGAGAGAGAGGGAGAGAGAGAGAAGGATAGAGAGACAGACAGAGAGAGGGAGGGGCCGAGGGAGAGAGAGACAGACAGAGAGAGCGAGAGAGAGGGATAGAGAGACAGACATAGAGAGCGAGAGAGAGAATGAGCGAAAGAAAGAGAGAGAAAACGCGAAGTTAATTTCAAGACTACAGTATGCCATTTTTTCCAATCGACGCCCCCCAATTGTGCACGAGTAGTCCCTCAGCTTTGCATGCGCCACTCTCTTTTTGCCTTAACCCAAATTGCCTAATATTTTTTCACCCCGATTTAGAAGCGGCGCCGACATGACGTCTATCTTCACGGCTCGCCACTCCGAGTACTAACTATTTACGGATCGATTTTATGTTTTTACCCTTGCTATTTTTCATTTGAAAGTTTTAAAGGGACCGGTAAGGCATGGCTTTGGATTCAAATTTTTTAATTTTTCGAAATCTCGAAATTTCAGAATAACGGGATTTCATGATATCGAAATATACATCAGCAAATCCGTAGCCGTACCTTACCCGTCCCTTTAATCCACCCAACTACCCCCCAAATTTACCCGAACTTAATTTGAACTTTTTTTTGCCAATCCCGCCGTATTTTATTATCCCTAAAATCACAAAACCCTCCAGAAAATTGCATTTTTCTCTTTTATTTTTTGCTACCATAACCGATTTTCCGACCGTATTTGATCCAGATTTTAGCGGCTAACTGGAGTCACTAACTAACGTATTTTCTGCGTCTCCTCATCGACCAAACAAGAACTACAGCGGGTTGGCGCCTCGGCTACATTTTTTTCAAAATTTCGATAATTTTCATTAACTCGCATAATTTTAGTAGTATTTGCATAATTTGCCTCATTAACATACGTTTTGGATTAATATATTTTTAGTCGGCGTTTTTGGGGTGTTCCATTCATATATTTTTATTCTTTAAAATTTGCATAATTAAATATTCACGAAAATTTACATAATTTGTATAAAATAAATGGTACTGGTCACTTAGCGGGGTGTATATTTACTGTTTTTTATAGTGTTTTGATTCATGTCTGATCGCTAAAAATCGTAAATAATCCTTCAACAATTCCATTTTTTGGCTTTTTGGCATTTCTAAACAGACCGCGAAAGCCCCCCCCGTTAAGAGACCAGTACCGACATAATTTGCATATTTACCCATTTTTTTCTTGCCTCTTTCGTGCCGCTTGCCTGTTTCAGTGCTTCGGGTAATCTGTAACCGTTTAAAAATTCGATCAAAAAATTGAGATCTGGCCATTTTCATACTGTAATCGATTGCTGTTCCATTTTACGTCCCTCTTACGATTTTTTACGAATTTTTGTGAATGTTTTTCTCCATGTTGCTCAATGTATGCAGTACTGAGATTTTTTTTGACTCCCCGTGGCCCGGTGCATTTTTGCAATTTCGAATATTTTTGTGTGGAATTTGGATTTTCATATTGGGATTTTTTTGGTTTCAGTAAATAAACTTTATCTTTACAAAGATCACATAAAAAAACAAATGAGAAATAAGACAATTTTGAAAAATTGGGCAGGATTTTATCATAAAAAATTTACAAAATCACAAAAACAGTATGTTTTCAATTTTACGAAGAAAATACAATGTTTAAAATATAATTTTTTTTCGTTAAGAAATAGGTTACGGTAATTGTGGGGTACGGTAGCGAGAGAGAAAGAGAGAAAGAGAGAGAGAGAGAGAGAGAGAGAGAGAGAGAGAGAAAGAATCCCGTGGCTGGCAGTAAAGATCATACGGCAAAAATAAACCAAAAGAAAACGAAAACACGCCTTTTTAAAGGGACTTTAAAGAGAAAAATTGACGCGCATTAATAATGATTATAACATATTAAAATTGTCACTTTAAAGTCCCTTTACAATCTTAAAAAATTAAATCAATTAAGTAGCAAAAATCCATTCAAATCAATAGACTTTTTCCACCTCCTCATAGCGCAACTCGCTGTCCTCCATCCCAAGGTTCCCCTGCATGCTGAAAAGCGGGGGAATTGGGCTCTGCGGGGATACGGTAGTTAGAGGTCACGTTTTAGCAAGAATTTGTTACAAGCCGCGCGCACGTGGCGACTTATATTTCGAGAAGGGCGCAACAATCGGGGTGTAAATTGGATAAATTTCAGATTAGAGTGCACACAGACGGCAATCACATCGAATGGACAGTTAGAGAAAAACTGTAAGTATTAGAGGTACAAAGTACGCAGGAGTACAAACTATAAACTACTGGTAACACGGCGTAGTGCAGCGTACAGAGTAGTACGAGTAGTAGTACAGTACAGCGTACAGATACCGACTACAAGGTACGGTATAGGACAGCATAGTACAAACTATAGGCCAAAGAGTACGAAGCGGTACACAGTACGGAGGAGTCCAGAGTAAAATTACAGAGCATAAGCCATCCCTGAGATCAGAAGCGGCAGCTAGCCTACAGAGCTTAAAGCTAAGCCTAAGCCTAGCCCTAAACTTAAGCTCAAGCCCAATCCTAAGCCTAAGCCTAAGCCCAAGCCTAAGCACAAGCAGCTTACACACCTTTTCACGTAGTATTATTACTGTCCAAATCACTCCATGCCAGCTCGTGGCTTATCGGATGCCGGTGGTGCTTCTTGTGCTTTCGGCGTTTCCCCTCGGTCTGGCTTCTCCGCTGCTTCAGGTTCGTCTTGTCGAGGTTGTTCTCCTCTGACTGCAACGGGGGCCATTAGTACAGAGAATTTAGGCTAGCAAAAGGTTATACATTGAACATTTAAACTCGGCATTCCGGGATAGAACTTATGGTTTTTGGCGGCTTACCCGTAATTCGTGCGCACGTTTGAGCCCTAAATACGCAAAGTCAACTCACGCATTTTTTGAATTTTCAGGATTTCATAGAATTTGTAAGCGAAGCATGCGAATAAACTTAGAATATTCGATTTTTGTTGAGTTGTATGGCGTTGGGATTGTTCTACGAAGGAAAAGGAGAGCAGAGAGAGAGAGAGGAGAGAGAGGTAGGAGAGTGAGCGAGAAAAAGCGAGCGGGAGAGAGTGAGAGAGAGCGAGGTTATATGTCGGTATTTTGGTCGTGGTATTTTTGTCTGTCAGCATTTTGACGAGTCAGAGCGAGCGACATAGACAGAGGGATAGAGCGATAGAGAGAGCGAGAGATAGAGAGAGAGAGGAGACAGAGAGAAAGAGCTATATTGACTTCTGAAGCTTTTGAAGCATCCCTACAGCCTAGATTAGGCTTGTGACAAAATCCATAGACCAGATTGGCCTTCATTGTACCTTTAAGGATTCAAAAACACTTACCTCCCCATTCTTCCAGGCGCAGAACTCCATCGGCAGTCCATCGGGCCCAATTGGACATGGTGCGTCTAGCCCCGGGATGCCCTGGTCACCCTTCTCGCCAGGTTCACCGGATGGCCCTCTCGGTCCTGGCGGTCCTTGTGGGCCCTAAAAGTCAATTTTGCTGTCAATTTTGCAATAAAACAACTACATAATTGAAATACAAGAAACCGAAACCTAGAGCAGGCAAAAAACTGAGAAATTTTAAAGTTAAATTTTAAACAGTTTTTAAACGCTGAATTCAAATTTATCATTCACCCACCATCACTCCGGGGTCTCCTTTGGGCCCTGGTGCGCCGGCACGACCCTAAAAATGCAAATTAAAAACTTGATTTTCCGAAGAATTCTTGATTTTTCATAGATTTAGTTTAATTCGAGTGCATCTACAACCGAAAGAAGAAGAACACTAGACACAACAGTGCTCTCCAAACCTGTGCACCGCAAACCCCGGTAGCTAAAATTCACACTTCAAACAACACGGCAAACCCTGGGAACTCAGAAAACGAGTAAAACTTGCCCCTTTCGGTTCGGGACCAGGGGGGCCGCGGAGTCCCATCGGGCCGGGTGGACCCTGAAATAAATCAATAATTAACTAATAAGAAAACCTTTACAGAAGGTTTATTTGCAAAATTATTGCTTAAAAATTTTATTGTTGGTTTTGTTTTCAATTTTCAATTTTTCAGTAAAAAACTATTCTTACCGGCAATCCAAGGCTTCCGGGTTGTCCTGGAAGTCCTTCTCCCCGTTCTCCTCGATCTCCTTTTTCTCCGGGCGGTCCTGGGAGCCCGGGGATACCAGGGGGACCCTGGACTCCGCTGCCTCCCGACGTTCCGACTTCGATGACTTGGCCCTGGAAAGCGATGAATCTCTCTTTCTCTCTCTCTCTCTCTCTCTCTCTCTCTCTCTCTCTCTCTCTCCATCCCTCTCTCTCCACCCACCGGTTGCCCAGGTAGCCCTGGTGCTCCCATATCCCCTCTATCGCCTCGTTCTCCCTGATGTCCAGGGAGTCCCTGCGGTCCTCGATCTCCCTTCAGCCCCGGTGGGCCCTAAATTCGAATTCTAAAGTGTGTCCCAATCCCTCACAATAGGTCCAGAGGGTCCGGCGGGTCCCGGCGGTCCCGGATATCCGTGTTTCACCCGGATCTCCGTCAACTGCTCCTTGATCGCGGGCATCAGCTCGCGCAACAGCTCGTCGGTGTTGCCCAACTGGTTCGAGGCGGGCGGGCCGGGGAGGCCGGGTTTTCCCTGAAACGGGTTTCTCTCGCTCCCTGGGGAAAGAGGGCGTGTCCTTTCCCAATCCCATCGGCCTTTTGGCCGATTGGTTTTGCGTTCGCTTATCGCGCACAAGGCCCGGGTTCCATCCCCCGCCGTGGCAAGATTTTTGCTTTTTCAACAAAAGCTGGGGTTGGATGTTGTTTAAATCGATCCTAGCCACAGTAATCGACAGTAAGTTCTCACCGTATCTAAACCCCTCTTTTCCTGTTACAATATCTAGACAACAACCGAAAATGCGGTGGAATTAGTAGCTGAACGGAAAATGGCGGTGGTGGACACGACTTGAACAAGTTCACCAGACAATTTGTGCCCGAACATAGGACGATTTTAGGAGCTTAACGTTCAAAAAGCGATTCTTACGCGTCTGCCCTTCTTGCCGATCTCGCCGGGCGGCCCGATCGGTCCCTCGGGTCCTGGGGGTCCACTCGTACCCGGTTCGCCCTGAACAACACGTTAAAAATGCCAAAAAAACACGGGTTATTCGGGGAATTTCGAATTATCCAGAAATACCAGAGGTGCCGAAAACGACAGCGAGTAGCCTGGAAAAACGCGAAAAATTTGATTAGTTTTTGAAACATTCAGGACAAAGACTTGAGGCTTACAAGATGATTTAAGATATTTTTTATATTTAAAGATTTAGGATAATTTAATTTAGTTAAGTTTTTTACAAAATCTAAAATGAAAATTTCTAAACTCAAATTTCAAGGCTTTCTGAGTTTTCTAGTTGTTGAATTTAATTTTCATTGATCCGTAATTTAAATAATTCAATTGCTATTATAACAAATTAAAAGTCAATCTTTTCCTTGTTTTTTACTAAAAATTTCGGTACTTGAAGGTATGAAGATCGAAATTACGTAAATTCCGTCAACTACCGTACCTTCTCGCCCTTCTCGCCATCTCTTCCATCACGTCCGGGAGGTCCTGGTGGACCCGGGGTTCCGTTTCCACGTCCGGAATTTCCGGCAGATACGGCAACGCCGGGGGCTCCGGGGTTTCCGGGGGTACCGTTGTGACCACGGTCTCCGCGCTCGCCCTTCTCACCCTGAAAATATTTGAATTTTGGAATAATCGTCGAGATCGGATGAAACGAAGAATATTAAAGCGGAAACTCTGTTAATTAGGGTTTCTTAGGCTTAGACTTAGGCTGATGCTTAGACTTAGGTGCAGGCTTTGGCTTGGCTTAATTTTCGGCTTAGGCTTAGGCACAGGCTCAAAACTCAGCCAACATCTTAAAGTGAGTGAAAGCGGCACGCTCCCCGAATTAGTATACAGTACGCGATGCTACCTTCGCACACAATCCGGGCAACCCGGGCTCTCCGGGGATTCCGGGTGGACCAGGGGGGCCGGGGGCCCAGATTGGCTGCGCGCCACCGTCTTCGGCCTATCGAATGGAATTCAAGGGGTTAGGAATGGAAAGGAAATCTCAGTGAAAATTGTCAAACCTTTGGTCCTCGCTCGCCGGCCGGGCCACGGGGTCCTGGCATTCCATCTCGGCCTGGTTCGCCCGGGTCTCCTTTGGGTCCCACCTGGAATTTGGGTATGGTTAGGGGTTAAAAAGCTTCTAAAAGCGTAGGCGTGTTGCGAAAGAGAGAAAAGCTAAATAGAGCGACAGAGAGAGAGAGAGAGAGAGAGTAACGGGGAGAGAGAGAGAGAAAGGAGAGAGGGACAGATCGGATGCCGTAAAATTCCCTTACCTTGCTCTCCCCATCAAATCCAGGCAGCCCGCGTTCACCTTTCGGCCCCGGCAACCCGTTCAGCCCGTCACGACCCGGTTTGCCGGGTTGTCCTGAAAAAGCGGTTTTTATCTCCAAAAAACCCCCGAAAAAAAAGCCAATTCCGAACCCAAAAACTTACCAGGCAATCCTGGCGGTCCGGGCGGGCCGGAGACCATCATCTGCGAGCCGGACATCGGCGAGCCGGGCAGCTGGAAGTGGGTTTAAAGGGATTGTGAAGGCAAGACTATGAATTTTGTCTGCTATTGGCCTTAAATTTAAAGTCTTCCCAAAATTCAGAAAAGAACTTTAATCCTTTTAAAGAGATGGTGACACCCTAAAAACCATCAACTTACAGCCAAATTCGTGCAGACGCCCTTGTCACCCTTCGGTCCCATCGTTCCTGGGGGTCCGACCGGCCCTCGGTCACCACGGTCACCCTGAAAGTGAGGCATTTAACAGAGCTTTCAACGCGTCGCGGACGCGTGGCGTGTCATGCGCTGATGGCGACACGCTTGCGCGTTGCTTCAAATTTCAAGATTACCACCTTGATCCCTGGAACACCTGGCAGTCCTCTCGGTCCATCGAGTCCAATTGGGCCCTGGAAATTGGATGGTTAGGAGAGGTTAGTTTGTAAAAAAACACAGAAAACCAAGGGAAAGATGGGTGAGTGAACAGAGACAGGACGGTACAGTACGGTGAACGTGCAGTTGTATGCATGTCTTTTTGTCGAATTTGGTAACAATCTGATGGCCTACTACGATTCTGAAGTAGAGAGGGAGGGCGAGAGAGAGAAAGCGAGAGAGAGGGAGAGAGAGAGAACGAGCGGAGTGAGAAATAGAGAGAGAGAGAGAGAGAGAGAGAGAGAGAGAGAGAGAGAGAGAGAAAGAGAGAGAGAGAGGGAAATAGAGAGTAAGAGAGAGAAATAGCGAAAGAGAGAGAGACAGAGAGAGAGAGAGAGAGAGAGAGAGAGAGAGAGAGAGAAACCGAGATAAAAACGTAGATAAATCTTCCTTAACCAAATCTGCGTGCAAAAAGCGTAAGCGACATTTGAACATAAAAATTCCTGAAGACTTCTCGACCGACAGTAACCTACCGGAAATCCCGGGTATCCGCGTTGTCCCTTGGAGCCCTGGAAATGGAGGGGGTGCGTGCGATTGCGGGGATGGGGATGCGGGATTTGTAATTTTTAATGGTATATTAATTAATTATGTTATTTATATCATATTTTTGCAAGCGCCGCCCTGCCAAGCACAACGATAGCACAACAGAGGGAAAGAAAGTGGGGGAAAGGAAATGGAAAGGGCATGCTTTGGAAAGAATTCGAGGGGTACGGTAGCTTCAGGAAATTTTGAATTTTTGTATGATTTAACTTAGTCTCCTGGCTATAAATCCCTGTTAGAATTTTTAAAAACCCAAACATTTACCAAATTTTGTATGTTAAAGGAATCGTGCCAGAAACGATTTTCTACAAAATTCGACTATTTCAGCAAATTCACAGCTGCCACGCTCCCTTTAAAAGGTTTAATCTTGTTTTATAAGCTACCGTACCACTTTAAAGGAACCGGGAAGGCAGAGGTCGATTTTTTCATAGTCCTTTAGAGCCTTGGCAGCTGTCCAAAAGCAGCAAGGAACTGGAAATTTTCCAAAAATCCATAGAAAATTGGTCTTTTTGCCTTACCAATCCCTTTAAAGGGCCCCGGAAGGCAAAAATGAAAGTTTCTATGGATTTTTCGTAAACTTAGAGTTGCTGTGGAAGCAGATTTTTTTAGCTGGCTCCCTACCAAATATCAGAAACTCAAGGGCAAAACCTCTTGCTCCTTCTGCTTTCCCGGCCCCTTTAAATTGTTCATCTCCTTACCGGCGGTCCTGGCGGGCCCGGCAGGCCCTGCAATTGGATGGCCTTCCCATCCGGGGAGTAGAGGAACCCGAACGATCGCAGCTTCCGGCGCAGCGCCGGGTCCAACCGCTGCAACAACACCAATTAACCAAGGAGTGGCCGGATTTACAAGTTTTCAAAAATAAATAAATAAAATGATATGAGACGCCACCAAAAAAATGAAAAATTAAATTTTAAGTACATATAAAAGTATTTAAAAAATATAAGTAATATAAAAACCCGATAAATTTGCCTTGTCTGTCCCTTTAAAATAGTAGTCTCCTCAGAGCCAATAAATTCTCAAAGACAAAAAAGACAAACTCTAAACTTCAGCCTACGAAATTTGGGCCTATAAACTACAACTACAAATTATAAACTACAGGCTATAAATTCCAAACTACACACGCACATTAAACGGTAACGTGGCCGGGCTGGGGTTCAACTTCTGCTGCTGCTGCTGATGGTACTTTTTTTTGGCGTAGTACGGCGCTGGGAGGCCGGGTAGACCCTGAAATCGCACCACCACTCAACCACCAACGAACTAAAAGGAAAAACTAATAAAAATAGAATTTTACAACTCATAAATGTGTAAAAATGGGCTGAAAAACTGAAAAACGCTACACGACGTACTTCCCAGTCTATCGCATCACCGCGACGGCACTAATTTTTGATGTATTTTTGGTGTTCACTTTCGTTGTTAATTTTTATAAAATTTTTTGATGAAAGCTACTGTCTTTCTTACATTTCAATATCTATAGAATTTTTTAGAAGTTTTTAAATGACTAGAAATTGACGAAATTCGACTTACCGGCGGTCCTGGCATCCCGGCCTCGCCTTTCGGGCCTGAAATGGAAAAATTATTCAAAGCAATTTATGGTAATTTTTGCTTAAAATTTTACAATATATACAGATATTTGCCTTCCCAGCCCCTTTAATGCCTTATCAACCCCCGGCGGACATGGAGGTCCAGATAAATCAAGGTGGACAAGGTCCTGACCGGTGTGTGGATCTCGCTCTCTCGCTCTCGCTCTCTCTCTCTCTGTCTATGTCTCTCTCTCTCTCTCTCTCTCTCTCTCTCTCTCTCTCTAGGGTCATAAATCAAGGTGGCACCCGAATGGCCATGTCCAGCCGCGGCTCCAAGGGGGTGAAATTCAACTGTAAACCCCCCTTTCAACTGGCCATCAGCCAGCGAGCGGTGGTCCGGCTCCCCTAGCTCGCACTCCCCGGGGCCAGAAGAAGGTGACTAATTGAGTGGCCCAATCGACTTCCCGGCGGCTCGACGGATTGAGAGGGGATCGTAAAAAATTGACTAGGCAGAGATACTGAGCTAGAAGGTGATGCTAGGAAAAATAGGCCGTACGTGGGAAGATTTCGAGATTGTTCGAAGGCTTAAACTAAATGTATTCGGGGAAAGCTTCGACGAAGCCGAAGCCTAAGCCCGAACCAAACCTCAGCCTAAGCCTGAGCCTAAGCTGAGGCGATCGCGTACGCCTACGCATCACCCCGCTTAAGGTACGCATTGCTACGTATACACCGTACGCTGCGTTGACCTGGCCCGTAGCACCCAAAATCCGAAATCCTATAAAGCACTGTTCAGTCATCCTTGGTACCCTGCAATACGCTGCTTTGCGCTATGGACTACAAGAGTACACGTTCCAATGTGTACCACTACGTCACGGTACGGTACAGTACGAATCTATGATGTTTCAAGATCCCTTTAAATATTCCGATGCCCTCCGGCTGAGCATGCGGGTTTCTAAAAGTTTCCTCCGATGTCTGAGGTGGGTCAAGCCGTAGACTCAGGGGGTGTCAGGTGTAATCGATCATGTCGGAGGGGCCCCATCGGTCAGCCACCCATCATTTCTTGCTGTCACACTCCACACACAAAGCGAGAGACTGAGAGCCACCAGAAGGAGTGGGACTCCATGAGCAATTGAGTCAAGTGGTAAGGTCTCAAAAAGGCTAAAATTCAGATAGGAATTACGGTATGAAGGTAAAGAGACGGCAAATAGGAGTAACCTATCTCGCTCTAGCTCTCTCTCCCTCTCTCTCTCTCTCTCTCTCTCTCTCTCTCTCTCTCTCTCTCTTTCTCTCTCTCTCTCTATCTCTCGCGTTCTCTCTTTCTCTCTTTCTCTCTCTCTCTGTTTCTCTCGCTCTATCTCTGTCTCGCTGTCCCTCTCGCTCCTCTCTCTATGTCCGTTACCTTTTTTCCCCAGATTTTTAGATTCACCGCTGTGCGTTCAAGCGCGGATTTCAAGCCCAAAATTTCAAGTTCGTATTTCAAGCTTTCAAGAGCCTGAGAGAGAGAGAGTGAGAGAGAGAGAGAGCCAGAGAGAGAGAAATACCGACCCTCGAATCCCGACAATCCCCCCATTCAATTTGACTATAAGACCGTAAGCAACATCCGATCCCCCCGGGGCATCGAATAGCCATCTATCCCCCTTCGAGACCCCCGGGGGTGCAAACAACCCGACAATACGCCCCTCCTCCTCGAAAACTTGGCTATACGCGGCTCTCCATTTACAACCCTCTCCTCATTTGCATTTTACAAACGGTTGCAAAAGTGCGGTGGGAGGCTAGGTGTCGATGGTAAAATACGGAACAGGGAAGCTGCGGTGACGGGGGGCAGGGGGGGCAGGGGGGTACTGTAAAAGCTACGAAATTTTACGGATTACGTTCTATTTAAAAAATTTTGGCTTAAGATTTTTTTGTTAGACTAGGGTAGCTACAACGTGCAGAATTCATTCGTCGAACTGACCGGGCGGGCACACACAGTTCTGCGATCGGTCGTATCGAATGGCTCGGGGGCGCCGTGTGAACGCTTCCGTTTCGTTGCTGCTCGGTCGTATCGTTGGAGACTCCTGGAAATTGAGAGATAAGGTAAGCTTAAAAACTAAATAAAAACTGAATAGCTCGCTCCCTATCTCTTGCTTTTTCAATCTCTCTATCTCTTGCTTTCTCTCTCTTCTCTCTCTCTCGCTCTCTCTCTCACTCTCTCTCGATTTCTCTCTCTTACTCCCGAAATCGCGAAATCGGAAAATCTCTGAATTCTCGATCAAAAACCCATTTCAAGACCCCCGATCTTCTTCTTTGTATGGCCACCGGGTAGGGGGTAATTTGTAGCCGATCGGACTCGACGAGGGACGCCGTTTTTCGGCGGTTTTTACCCCTGTCGGTGAGCAGCGGCCATTCAGGGGGAAGGGTTTTAAGACAAGAAAAAATGGGCTGAGTGAGAGAGAGAGAGAGAGAGAGAGAGAGAGAGAGAGACGAAAACGAAGCACAGACACAAAACCCGGGGGCCATTTATTGGAAGGACGAGCTAGTGGGACACGGTCAGCTGTCCTTGCAAATGGCCACTCTCACTCATTCACTACAGACAAGAAGCGGCGTTGCTAGGGTAGAAAACGGGTGTTTTAAGGGGGCTTAGAAGCCAGGATATGGTGGAGTTTGGTGTTGGCGGGTGCCAAGAGCTATTTATAATAATCGAAAAACGCAGTGCGCGAGAATTGGCGGGACTGG